CGGAGATCAAACCGTGCGTGTATAAATACCCTGTATAACACTAGCGTGATCGCCTCTCGAATGGTGCGGTCCAGAGACAGCCCAAGTACCGGGCCAATGAGTTCCATCACTCATCCAAGTAGCTTTAGGAGCTACTAAAGCAGGCCTTGGTTCCTTAATTTGATCCTCTTCAACTTTCACCTTCCAATGCTTCCATTTCTCTAAAGCTTTAATCTCTTCTTTGCTATTAAACGCATCCGATCTCCTTCTTATCGAATGAGGCAGCGCATTAACCCGAACCTTAAACTCATCATAAGCTCGTTTAACATACCGTCGCTCTCGAACAAAATCATGTCTCACCTTATCCTTATAAGGATCCCTCTTCAAACCAAAGTAACTCTCCGGATTCCTCGGCTCTATCTTATGTTTCCTGCAAAACGGAACCCATATTTTCGCAAAGCTAGCCGCTTCAGCAATTGCTTCAAACGTAACAAGCGATCCTCCATCATCTGAGATATAAACAGAGAGCTTCTCAACAGGATAATCAACAGATAAAATCGAAAGAATTGTGTTGGCTGTAACTAATGGAGGCTCTTTCTCTGCATCAGCCGTTGAAACAAACACATCAATCCCCGGAAGATCTGATTTCCCGGTCGGGTTATCCGGGTTTGGCGTTTCGAATGTCGCCTTTAAGGCTTCGATATCGGTTGCGTGGTTCACAGGAAACAACTTAGGGATTTGGTCAAGTAACCAAGAGAAAGCAAACCAGAGTTCACAGATTACAGAGAGTAACCATAACCATAATGCTTTGTTGTTTGGGTTTCTGATTCTCCAGAAGAGAAACAGAGCTAGAGATACTACTCGAACAACTATTAGAATCCTGTAATAAAAAAACAAAACCTAAATCAGAAAAACATCCTTAAAAGATCATGCTTTATGACAAATCAAAGTGTTTGTAACAGACACGACAGAGATTTTTTAAATATATATTATTATTACCGATAAAGAGCGATGATGATCGGAGAGATTTTGACGACACGAGTAAGAGAATAAGATATCTTGGAAAGCAAGGTATCGTCTTCTTCTTCTTCACCTACATTGATTCTCACATCGGTTAGATCCGGTTCGTTGTCTTTACCAGATGAACCGGAAACGATGTCTCCGGAAACGGACGGAACCGACTCCTGATTGGAATCGATGTCCAGGAGAACGATTGAAAGCGACGCCGGACCGGGATTGTTGTCCGGCGTCGGAGGGATCTGGACGAGGTACTTGTTGTAATCAGAGCTGCTTCCGAAATCGCTGCCGGAATTTGACACGTGGCTGATTCTGGGATGTCTTAGAGGAGATTCTCCGTCCATCATTTTCAATAAATCTCTTGTTTTCCGTCGCCGGAATCTGGAGAAATGAAAAAAAAAAAACGGCACTGAGTAAAAATGATTATTTGGAGAATCAAAGTTTCGATTTTTAATGAAATATGTGTGTGAAGAAAATTAATTGGGAATCAAATCCAAAAGAAACTCTTACCCTTTTTGATATAAATCAGAATCAGTGATGAGATTTTCAAAATGTTACTTTCTTCTCTGTTTTGTTTTTTCATTTACCATAAACGGAAAATTCTGAAGAATTCACTAAGAACAAAACTTTATGAATTTGGAGTGTTGTGTGAAGATATGGGTTTTATGCTATTGAGGTTTTCTACAAAATCTTATTGAATGGTCAACAAATTGGTGTGAGAGGAGATCTTGTTTCCCTTAAT